ATTAAAAGTAGTCTAACCACAGATGATCCTTCCCTAAGACAGTACCTCATTACTGTACCAAAATGTGCATATTCATGGCACAATATTTCGTTGGCAGTTACCAGCTACTCTACTATGGCAGATCGGTTTGATCTAGGGATTTCTATACGCCTATATATGTGTTAATTAGTGTCATTGACTAGTTTGACCAATTTTCTTAGCAGCTAAAATTTATGATATTTCGTTATTTGGTCAGATTTTGGGAGATCTTTTTTAATTATTTCATTCGAAGTGAGGCAATAAATCCACTAAGACGCAAGGTGTTACTGAGTGTGGAAAAATTACTATTAAGGAGAGATGACAATAAAGGAACATGAATTAAGAACGCTTAACACAATTTCTGGAGAATTGAGACAAATCTCTCTTAAGCTCAAACAAAACGATTATATTTTCCCGGTCACTGCCACCGAGCGGACAGGGAAATCATCTCATTCTTACTCCTATGTCATCCTTCTGGATTTGACTTCTCACGAAAATTGACTTTCCCAGACATCATAGCTCAGGACTCATGAAATCTAGAGACAGCAATACAGGACTTTGGGCAAGAAATTTCTGGTTTCGAATTTGGTTCTATCCAATCAGTTGTATTTGGTATTCTTTCTTTAACATCTTCTTGCATAGGATGCGTGTAACAGACTTCACAAGATTTGGCACTCGAGACTTACACTCCCTTTAAAAGTTCAAACCTTTCGAACATTGAGTGAACCAGTCCTTCCCTATGGATCAGAAACTTGGACATTATCTGTTTATCTTGAAAGACGACTGCATAGAACATAATACAAATCTGCTCAGAACAATCCTGAACATCAGTTGGAGATCCCAGGCAACACTTAGACCAATCTCTTTTAAACTCAAACAAAAAAGATTACATTTTCCCGGCCGTTGCTACCGAGCGGACAGGGAAATCATCTCATCCTTACGCCTATGTCATCCTTCTGGAAGTGTCTTCTCACGAAAATTGACTTCCCCAGACACAATAGCTCGGGACACAGGGTTGGATATTGGGGATCTGGGGACAGCAATGCAGGACCGAACAGTGTGGAAAGGGGTTGTCAATGGATAGAGAGGTCGAATGATGATGACGACCTGTCTCTAATTTGTATTTTGGTACTTTGTATCTATTTTCAATTTTTCTAATTGAATTGTTCACCTATATTGCATATGATCCATTATTGTAGATAATTAGGCTATAATAAAATTTGTATTTTATCTGAATACTACCTTCTGAATGATAGATAGGAACAGACCGAGATAGATAGATAGATAGATAGATAGATAGATATGAACTGACTGAGATAGATAGATATAGACAGAGATAGATAGATAGATAGAGAGGTCGAAGGATGATGATGACTTGTCTCTCATCTGTATTTCATAGCAAATTCAACTTTTTAACAAAAAAAGTATCAAGTTAAAAAGTGTAAAAGTAGCTTTTATTATTAGCAATACTACGGACAATAACAGGTATGTCCCCATTCACATAAATACAGTAGTAAATACTGTATATTGGTCTGCAGTTGGAGATTCGTCTCCAGCTGTGCTGGTCAAACTCTCTGACTCTGGGAAGAGAGAATTTCCAGACGGGGCTATGTCAAATGGCAGAGTCAGTTCTCGGGAAATAGCTGACCGACCCCGTTTTATACGGGGTCTACGGGGAATTTTTGGTCGAGTCTACGGGATCAGATAATCCACATTAAATTCAACCTTGTACCACATCAGACCGCGTGGGGCGGTTGGTAGGTATCCTGCAGTTGGAGATTCGTCTCCAGCTAAGCTGGTCAAACTCTTTGCCTCCGGGCAGAGAGGATCCCCAGATGAGCCTGTTTCGAAGAGCAGCGTCTCGTCTCGTTAACACCTACTCGGTCCCGTTTTATACGGTGTCTACGGGGAATTTTTGGCCTAGCATACGGGCTCGGATACCCCACATTAAATTCGGCCTTGTGTCACATCTGACTGCGTAGGGCGGTTGGTAAATATCCTGAGGTTGGAGATTCATTGTGGAATTTACTTAACTCACTTCTAGCAGTTGACACACTACTTCTACGCGCCGCTGGCGAATCTTATATGTGTTGTTCTTGTCCTAAGTATTATCGTTCATTACAAATATAAATCGTGTGATTATTCTATTCTGTAACCTTCCTTAGGTTACAACAATAACCCATTCAGGTTGAGAGGCCGTAAAACAAAACAAACGGAATATGTGGTTTCAGTCTTAGAAATGTTCAGCACCCCCTCTTGTGGAAAATCTCTCAACATTCCGGAATATCTTGCCATTTTCATCTGCGGAGATTTCTTTGCCATTTTCGGAAATGAACTTGATCAACTAGTTAAGAAATCGACACAAATTTGTCTTTGGCAATGGAAGAACATCTTCCATTCACTTAAAAGAAAATATCTCCCCGCTTCCTCAAAAATAAAATAAAAAAAAAACATGTAGAGAAGAAAAGAAAACGGAAGAAAAAAAATATATGTAGAGAAAGAACCTGCCTGAAAGACTTAATTACCATTCCTCTCGGCACCGGGCCAATTTCGATTTACCGTTTTAATTTTTCGGATACGTTAGCACGCTTTACCAATGTCTCTCGTCTCTTTCCTCCATCTTCGCTCACCCTCCACACCTTCCATGGCCTCCTTTATTCCGTATTGACATAAAAGCGGTAAATAAATTATTGCCCATGAAAATCGTTCAAGATTTTTGTTAAGTGAAACAAACTGATTGACTCCTGGTTGAGCCGGGTGGTGAAGTAGGATAGATGTTGGTTGTGCTTTGGCTGGGGGTGGTGGCGGCTGGAAGAATGAGTGAAGCTGGTGGTTGCGGGAAGAGAAGAGAAGAGAACCAAAGATACGTGGGGAACGGAAAATACAGTATCATATCGAAAGAGGTGATCAATACACAATTCCAACCTAAAATTACGGGACCTAACCGCCAATCAAGTGCTACGCATAAATTCGTAAATTCAACATACCAAAGAGGAAGCAACTATTTATTCATACTCTCCTTATTGGCAATAGACGAGGAGGCCGCTTCTAGCGCTCTATATCTTTCATATAATGACTCGTTTGTGTTCTATTATTCTAAGTGAAGAATCGTCACCTTTTAATTTTTTTTTAATCGAGTTCACTCCAAGCAAGGCAATAAAGCCACTAAGACACAAAGGATCGAGAACATTAAAAGAAAAGGTATCAAGAAGACAGGAGATAACGATTGACATTTTAAGATCAAAATTGTCTGGAAAACAAAAACCTGGGAGTGAGTTTCATATGCAAGTAGTGGGAGTAAAGAAACTGTTAGCATAGAACTTACGGCTTCATCTAGCCAACTCAACTGTAAATGGATGAGACTTTACTGTAAATCTAGTACTGTGTTTAAATTCATAAAGTTTAAGTACCAGAGGGGAAAGTAATATCTATTCTGAAAATACGAAAATGTGGTGCAAGGCAAAAACTCTGTCTTACCTTAAACTTAGCTAACCACAATTACTGACCCAAAGATATCACAGTATTCCTTACACCAAAAGAACACATTTTTACTTACCATCTCACTACAGCCACCATAATACCTCCGAGTCTCTATGAAGTCCTAATTTCCATATGTATCAAAGACGGCAGTAATATTTACATCGCTTATACAAAAATGTGGCACAAGACCAAAAGAGGAGGAGAGGGGATGGCTGGTTTTTAATCTGTCTTATCTTAAACTTATCTAGCCACAATTACTGACCCAAACATACTACAGTATTCCTTACACTAAAAGAACACATTTTTACTTACCATTCTCACTACAGCCACCATAATACCTCAAATCTCTATGAAGTCCTAATTCCCATATGTATCACAGAAGGCAGTAATATTTATATCGCTAATACAAAAATGTGGCACTAGACCATAAGAACATATACCTACCATTCTTTTTACAGCCACCATAATACCTCAGAGTCTCTATGAAGTCCTAACTAGTTCCAATATGTACCACAGAGGAAATTAATATATATTTCACAAATACAAAAAGGACAAAAGGAAGAAGGGAAGAAAGCTTTTCTTCAGTCTCTCTTACCTTAAACCTAGCTATTCGCAGTTACTGAACCAAACATATCAATATTCCTTACACCAAAACAACACATTCTTATTTACCATTCTTGCTACAGCCACCATAATACCTCTGAGTCTCTATAAAGTACTGACTAGTTCCCAAATATACAATAAAGGAAAGTAATGTTTATTTTGCAAATATAAAATCATTTTACATACTTATAAGTCTACCAGTCACCTATGCTTATCTTCACCATTCTTATCTAGGTATCAAATAAGAAAGCAATATTTATGTTAAACTATAATAATGTGGCACAAAATAAAAAAGGGGGATAATAGGAGAAGGGTGGACTTCAATCTGTCTTATTTTAAACTTAGCTAGCCACGATTACTGGTTACCCAAACATACCACAGTATTCCTTACACCAAAACAACACATTCCTACTTACCATTCTTACTACAGTCACCATTATACCTTAGGTCTCTATGAAGTCCTAACTAGTTCCATATGTATAATTTGTCTGTGGGGATGGGGAATAAAAGTAACAACATATGAAAATGAAACCCCAATGAATGAAAAGTGATATTCATTTTTTGTAAAATACAGAAAGATGGTACAAGGCCAAAAGCGAGGATAGGGAGGTCTGGTCTTCTGTTTTATAATTAAACTTAGCTAGTCACGATTACTGTTTACCCAATCATACCACAATATTCCTTACACCAAAACAACATATTTTAACTAACATTCGTACTACACTCACCATAATACCTCGGAGTCTCTATGAAGTCCTAACTAGTTCCCATATGTACAATAAGGGAAAGTAATGTTTATTTCGCAAATATAAAACCATCTTACATATTTATAAGTCTACCAGTCACCCATGCTTAGCTTCACCATTCTTATCTAAAGCTTGATAGACTCTTTCATCAAT